CAGGGTCTTGCTAAGTTGCTAAGGCTGACCTTTGAACTTGCAATCTTCCTGCCTCAGCCTCCCAAGTCAAATTTAACTGGGAGTACAAGCATGCACCACCACACTCAGCTTATTTTTTATTATGATACAGAGTCTCCCTAAATTGCTGAGGCTGGCTTTGAACTTGAGATCCTCCTGCCTCAGCTTCCCCAGTGGCTGGAATTACAGGTATGTGCCACCATGCCGGGCCATTCTCTCAATTTTTTATAAAAAGCCAAAAATTGGACATTTTAGTGAGAAGGGATCATGGATTGGGATGAGAGATTGGGAGAAGATCTAGGGGGCTGCATAAAGAAAAAAACAGGAAAAGGGAGAAGAGAGCCTCTCTTTTTTCCTTACTCCCCTCCCCCCAATTGAAGAGGCAGATTTACAGCCTTGGTTTGGGAGGGGGGTGAGCATAAGGAAGACAGATCTGCAGTTCTGCCCTCTGAGTGTCTGGGTACTTAGCTTTAACTCCCCCATTAGCATCAATCCCCATCTTGCTGCCCATCCGTCTTCTGACATCAGCTCCTTCCCCTCTCTGTAGCCCAAGCTTTCTGACCCTAAGTGGCTCTTAAAGGGCCAGTCTAGACCCTTCTCTCCCTCCCTCCTCCCACTCCAGGCAGCAGTCTCCTGTGTACACATGTGCACTGTGACCATCCTTGCTAAGGCCAGAGTAGATGGAGGGGATGGTGGGGGCAGGGCAACTCCTCCCCAGCTCTTGGGTCTCCTTAAACCTCCCTTATATTATGGGCCCATCCCTTTGTTCACTATCTACCCAGGCCCAGAATAAGCATTCTTACTGGATTGGGGTCACAGACGTGGCGGCTTTTGGAACAGAACTCTCCAAGGCATGTGGGTCCAGATGCAGATCCTTTCTCCCTCCCTCATTTCCTGGAGGCCCAGGGCAAGGGGTGTCCAGAACTACTGGCTGTTTTTAATTCTCAGCCAGCAGTGGGGGTGGACAGGTTGGGGCCTGAAGCTCCTAGGAGATGTTCAGAGCCCACATTCCTAGCCTCCTTTCCCAGGGATCTAGGCTGTGGTCTCTGGGGGGTGGGAGGTTTCCAATCTTCCTCTCCCTGTGAGGGAAGTGACATTTTAGAGAAACCTGCCTTTGAATTTCCTGGCCCTTCTCCCCTATTCCTAGGCAACTGAGTTTAGGGGAACAGAGGGGAAACAGACTTCTCCCTATTTTCTGCAGAAATGCCATAACTGCACTCCAGGGGCTCTATGAATGCCAGGATGCTTAAAAAGTTCTTTCCTATCTGCCTTCAATCCTTTCTGCTGCAAAGCTCTGCAGACCTCTGAGGTGGGGGTGGGAGTGGGGCAGGGGAGCTCTCCAGGATAATCAAGCCTCCTTCCTGATAGCGAAACCCAAAACCCATTCCCCAGGAGTGCTCCTTCTCTGGCTCAGGATGAGAAGGAATGGTGGGTGGGGGCATTGGGAAGTAGCCAGGTTAAACACAGGAGCCCCCAGCCGCACCCCCCCACACCCATGGACCCCTATTTATCACCCTCCAAACCTCACTCTCAAAGAAGCATAAATATTCCTAATTCCTGAAGGCCAATCCTGAACTCATAAATTTAACTGGGGAGGTGAGCAAGGGGGAGGAGTGAGGCACATGGAATGGGGAGCCCACTGCAGCCTGGAGAAAGCAGAACATCTCCTGGGGAGGCGCTTCACTTGTCCCCATGCAGAAGCCAATGGGAGCGTGGGAGCCTTTCTCTCAAAACTTCCTCTGGGCATCAGTCTTTCTCACGCCCCCCCCCCCCAAAAAAAAAACCAGCCGAAAAACAAAAGTCGACCTTACTTCCGGCCTCCCCATGGCTTCTCTTTCCTATTACCTTTCAGTGGTCCTTCCCCGCCTATCCCTGTCTCTCCCTCCTCTAAGCCTTTCCCCTGCAGCCATTGTCTGAAAAGGAAATCTGTCTCTCGTCCAATTGGGACAGTGAGGTCTGAAGTGCCCCTCGGTGCCCGCTGTCTCCGCTTCCGCCCACTTGTCCCTCAGACGCGCCCCCTCTCCGGTCAGGCCTTCCCCGCTCTCCCCGGGCCGCCGCCCCTCAACCTTGTCCCTCAACCTTCCTCTGTCACCCTGGGGCCCCCTCAGTTTCCTCTTCGCTCTAGACTTCAGTGTCCCTACCCGGACCCCTCAGACCCGGTCCTTCGCTCCCGTTCCCACCGCCACCCTGCCCCACGTTCCCCTCCCAGCGGACGGACGGGCAGGGAGGGGGCTGGAGGAACAGGTAGAGGGAGCCCTGCTCCTCAGGGGCTGGGGAGGCCAAGAGAGCGAGCGGGTAGAGCGGGAGGAACGCGGCGGCGCGGGGAGGGGCCTCCTCACTCCCTAGCTGCGCCCCCCCTCCGCCCGCGCAGCCACCGAACCATAAATCAGGGCCAATACGGTTTGGCCAATGGTAGAGAGACTCGTAAATCGGCCTGTCAAGCTCAGCCAATGAGAGACGGCGTTAAATCAAGTCCTGTCAGCACTTGGCCAATGAAAGGCCCTGGGCTGACCATAAATCTGCCTGTAAGAGACAGCGAAAGAGAGAGAGTGTGCGCTAGAGCAAGAGCCAGGAGGGCTGGGGCGGGAGGCGGAGGCGGAGGCGCGGGCTCGGGCGGGAGGCTGACAGAGATAAAGAGACAGAGACAGACACCCTCACATTCAGGAGCACGCAGGGCTCCCAGACGCATACACTTGTCCCGAGTCACGCGTGAGCAACGCACCACGGGGAACCTAGTGCAGGGACACGCGCCACGCACATCCGCAGGGGAGACAGCACCTGAAGAAAGCCGCTTCTTTCCCCTTATCCAGCCCTTACCGGGCCAGGGGTGGGTGTCTAGGGCTGTGAAGGGTGAGAAAGAAGAGGGTTGCCTTCTTGCTAATACCTGTCCTCTGTATGGTCTCGGACTCCAGGGTTTCTTTCACATTTTTACCCCTCAAAACGTCACCTGATTCATTTTTCCAGTGACTGCTAATTAGGAAGTCCTTCCTGCGGTCTAACCTCAGTCCCTATTGCTGCTCCCTTTTACTTTGAGGAAGCTTTTGAATTGCCTTCAAGGAATATGAAAAGTAAACCCTTTTACAACCCTTCAGAGAGTCATCAACTTTCAGAATCTTAGAAGGTCCGAGTAGGACAGAATTTTAGGCATCATCTGGTCACTTGATCCTAGTTTTAGCAAGGCAGCTGTTCTGTAGTGGTTAGCCATGTGTGCTGGTAACATGACTGCCCTCAAATCATGGTCAGATCACTTACCAGCCCTTTGACCTTGCACAAAATTAACTTGTTTATGCTTCAGTCTTCTCATGTGTATAATAATAAATATTTCACAGGAATTTTGTGAGAATTACGTAAAACAATTTATTTGCAGGATTTAGAACTGCAGTAGGTTCATGGAAGAGTCCCCTCCCCCTTGTGCAGATCATAAAACCTAAGGCCCAGAGTGGTCCAGAGATCTGTTCAAGTTCATGGAGCTGATTCCCAGCGAGCCTTGACTGGAACCCTCCTCTCTGCACTCCCAAGCTGATGTTCTTCATTGGTCCTGCAGTTCCCCTGCCTCAGTAGCTTCAACCTGACTGCTGATGATCTCTGTGGAAGGAGGACACCACGAAACGCAGGTTCCAGTTTAGCAACAGGATTCCTGGGCCCTGGAGGTGTGTGGCATGTGAGGGTTTCCATCTGTCCACCTGGACTCTGGTTCTTTGTGTCCTTGCCTGAATCTCTCCAGACTTCCCTTGTGCTCTCAACCCACGCGGGTTTGTGGGTAGGAAGGGGACAACTCTCAGCCTCCGCATTCGTGCCAGCCTGACCTCATATGCCACCCCCAGTGCCACCACAGTGCTCACCCTGCTCTCCCACGCTGCCCACCAGAGATAATGAATAGCTCATGAAAAATTAAAAGGTCTCAATTATTTTCTTTTCTTCCTAAGTTTTTTTTTGGAGAAAGGGCGGGTGCAGATCCCTGGGTCTCTGACCCCTGGACTGGACTTGCTGTTCTGCTGGTATTTTTTTTTTTTTTTTCCTGTCCTTAAGCAGAAAGCCAGAAAGGAAAACACAGAGAACCAGCGTCACCTGGTGGCCGCAAGTGTTCTCACGCTGTGCGTGAGCATGCCCACCGCGACTGGATGTGTAGGTCGGGCTGGAGGAAAGGGCTGGTATGGTCTCCCCGCTATTCTGGCCCCAGAGCCCTCTTGGTTTCTGCCCTGTTTCAGAAGCCAGGATAATGGGGTATTTAAATGGCCTGCAACAGGATGAATTAGCTACAAAGAGTGAGACCCTACTAGGGGGGCTGAAGCGCGTTTTTGCCTCGGCAAAGCTCAGTTCCATTTCCCAGAGCCAGGGCTCCTCATCAGTGACTCTTCCCTTTGCACAGGGCAGGGCGGGCAGCTGGGTTCACTGGAGTGGGTGTCCAAGCTGGATCACCAAACTTTTTTGAGTGGAATAAACCTGTTTGTGGAGATGGGGGATGCTGGCAGCAGTTGTTAGGGGCAGAGATCATTTCTGGGAAGTTAAGCAAAAAAGGCAAGCTAATCCTTTCTTTTTTTAACCTTATTTTGTTTATTTATTTTTATGTGGTGCTGAGGATGGAACCCACTGCCTCACAGGGGCTAGGTAAGCGCTCTACCACTGAGCCACACCCCCAGCCCTGCAAGCTCATTCTTCTAAACTACCTCACTGTGTTCTATGAGTGGGACACCCCTCAGCTGAAGGCTCTGTCCCTGGCCAGGTGCTCTTTATCCTTATTCTGACATAGGTCCCCACATTCTCACTTATTAGGTTCCAGCTCCTTCTTGCTCAGAGAGTACAACCAAACATTAAAAGCATGTCATTTAGCCGAGCATGGTGGCACACACCTGTCATCCCAGCAATATGGGAGACTGAGGCAGGAAGATCCCAAGTCTGGGGCTAGCTTCTGCAACCTAGCAAGACCCTGTCTCAAGATAAAAAGTAAAAAGGGTTCGGGGCTGGGGATACAGCTCAGTTGGTAGAGTGCTTGCCTTGCATGCACAAGGCCCTAGGTTCGATCCCCAGCACCACAAACAAAACAAAACATGCAATTCACCTGTTAATAATTAATAGTGCTCCTTGGGCAGCCTAGGGCTGAATCATTCATCAAGGGATGGAGAACCGTGGTTTGGGGGACAGACTGTAAAAATGCCCACAGGTCTGACGGTCACTTGTTCTCATGCCAGCTGGCCACTCTGGCTCCAGAGACCATTTGGGATTCTGGTTGCTGGGGACATGTTTCTAATGGAACCGACGGAAACTCTGGGGCCCTCGTCTTAAGAGGGTGCCATAGGCTTGGCGGAACTGGCGGTTCATGGCTGCATAGAGCACTGGGTTGATGCAGCCATTGAGCCAAGTGAGGTTAGCCGCCAGCATGTGGACCACCCGGGGGGCCTGGACCCTGGCGTCCAGGATGTTGAGCAGCAAGAAGGGGATGTAGCTCAGGGCAAAGCAGAGGAACACGGCAAAACACATCCGGGTCACCTTCCCAAACTCTGAAGGAGAGTCCTGAGCTCTTGGGGCTCCTTTAGTTGGCCCGGCCTTGGAAGAAGCTTCTGGAGGGTTTTTCTCTGCCAACTGCTTAGCTACCTTGCTGTTGTCCTGGTCCCCCACTTCTGATGAGCCCTCTTCCAGGGTGTGGGTAGTGGCAGCACTGACTGGCTCAGATGAGATCCCTTCACTGAGCCCTCTGGATGCCAGCCCACTGTCCAGCTCCTGGAAGCGACCAGGAATGACCTCACTGGTCCCCGCCACGTGGGTGCTGCGGATGCTCAGCTTATACTGGGTGAGCGCTTGGGCTGCTCGCCTCACCTGGCGGTGGACGAGGCAATAGAAGATGCCCACGCTGCTAAGCCCCAGCACAAAGTAGATGCCCATGAGGATGGTGGTGTAAGGCCGGCCTCTGATGCGGTCAAAGCTGCAGGTACAGACCACAGGTACCAAGACGTAAACGGGCCAGAGGGGCGCAAAGCTGGCCACACCCACAACCCAGGTGCCCACCAGTGCTAGCGCTACCCCCTTGGTGCTGAAAACCTGGGGAAAGAACTTCGGGTGGGCAATCAGGAGGTAGCGTCCCAGTGCAATGAGGCAGAGGGTGAGGATGGAGACAGAGTTGGAAACAAAAAGGAGGAGTCCAAATATCCTACAGAAGGTAGCGCCAGTGCGCCACCGCAGGTGGAGGTAGGTGTCCACGGAGAAGGGCTGGAGGAGGGTGCAGTAGAGCAGGTCCGCCAGGGTGAGGTTGGCGATGAGCAGGTTGAAGCGGGTCCGGAGCTTGGGCTGGATGGCCAAGGCCAGCAGGGTGAGCACATTGCCCACAGTGCCGGTCACAGCCACCACCACCCCCCAGGTAACTGCAAAGTAATGATAGCCCAGCACAGACTGATGGTAGCAGGAGAAGTTGGCCTCAGAGGTGTTCCTCATCATGGAGGCTGAAGGGGAAGGGAGTGGAAGAGGAAACCGGAGTCAGAACCTGCCTTTGCACTTAGATTCTCTCTCTCTCTCTCTCAGTACCAGGGATTGAGCCCAAGGGTGCTTAACCACTGGGCCACATTCCCAGCCCTTTTTGGGTGGTGAGGTGAGGTGGGTACAGGGTATTGAACTCAGGGGCATTCAGCCACTGAGCCACATCCCCAGCCCTATTTTGTATTTTATTTAGAGACAGGGTCTCACTGAGTTGCTTAGTGCCTCATATTTGCTGAGGCTGGCTTTGAACTTGTGATCCTCCTGCCTTGGCCTCCCAAATCACTGGGATTACAGGCAGGCGCCAACATGCCAGGCTTTGACTTAGGTCTGTTGAGCAGCTCTGAGCCCCTGGCCACTGGGTGTGCTCCTGGAGCTCACTTTAATTCACCATCCTCCAAACCATTCTCATACCTCTTCATCTCAAGGTCCCCAACTCTCCCTTAGGCTTGGTCCTTTCACAATCCCAAAGATTTTTCCCAAGTTCTTATCAAAGATATCTTTTCTAAATGTCTCAGGTCTTTGTCTGCCCCCACATAAATCCAGAAGCTCTCAGTAAACCCAGCACCCTCCACCTTCCTAATTCCTCCCCCATTCCCAAAGACTACTCAGGAGTCCCATCTTTGTACTTAAGAGGCTGCTGTAATGTCCTCTGCTCCCCTCTGTTACACATACACACAGACCTCAGTTTTATCTATGAGTTACTATCTGAGAAATGAGAAGTCCAACAAAGTAAACATACACCCCCCAAAAAAGTGCTCACCTGAGTCTCCCAGTCTTTGATTCTCTCTCCAAGGGAAGAAGTCCAACTCACCCCCAAAGCAGTGCAAAGTCAGGTTTCAAGTAGGAGGCAGCTTGTTCTCCTGTCTCCTATTATACCAGACTAAGAGAATAAGAAACTCCCCAGTTACCCAACCTCAGCCACTTCCTTCCCCACCTCCGGTTGGTCCTACTCATTTTGCTTTAGCAAGTGAAATTTGGGCTGCTCTGTTGAAATTCCCCATCTATTTACTCCAGAGTTGTTTCACTCTTTCCTTTCTCCTTCCTTAGACGTGGACTCTGCTTACTTCCCCTCTTTGCCTGGTAGGACACTTAGAAGATCCTTGCAGAGAATGGTTGGGACCTGGAGGCAGCATCAGGTCATCTGGGCCACTCCAAAAATGAGGCCAGTTTCCAGGAGCAACTCTGGGCCCCCCAGAAGCCTTGGGCTTGTTTAGGGGTAGCACTGCTTGTCTTCTGTCCAGGAGTTGGAGGTGGTTCAGGTCAGAGGGTCCCATGTGATACTCTAGCACATGTGAGAGATGGAGTTGGGTAAAAAAGATGGAAAATGGGGCATCCGGGATTATGGCTTCATTTCCCATAGGCACCCAAGCTCCTGTTTAATCATTCATTCATTCATCTGTCCACTCCACAAATCTCATTGAGTATCTACTGTGCACCAGACTCTGAGCAAGACACTGGGGACATTAGAAAGAATGATCCAAGGCCTCATGTGTATTCTACCTGTGGACAAAGATATGTAAATGTATAAAGGCTCATTTAATTCCTTAAATCAGAGGTTAGTGAATTGTGGCCTATGGACCAAATCTGACGCGCCATCTGTTTTTGGTTGATTTCTAGATAGCTGGCCTCAAACTCCTGGGCTCAACTGATCCTCCTGCCTCAGCCTCCTACAAGTATGTGCCATTTTCCGGCTGTTTTGTTTTGGTACCCAGGATTGAACTTGGGGGTGCTTAACCACTGAGTCACATCCCCAGTGCTTTTTATTTTTTTATTTTTTGTCTTGAGATAGGGTCTCCCTAAATACTTGGGGCTTTGCTAATTTGCTGAGGCTAGTCTTCCAACCTCATGAATCGCTGAGATTACAGACAACACACCACCATGCGCAGCGTTGTTTGTTTGTTGCAGTACTGAGGATTGAATGCAGGAGCATCTTGCCTCTGAGCTACATCTCCAGCATGTTTTATTTATTTATTTTTTTTAAATTTTGAGCCAGGGTCTCACTAAGTTGCCCAGACTGACCTCAAACTCTCCTTTCTCCTGCCTCAGTCTACCGAGTCGTTGGGATTACAGGGGTGTGGTACCACTACCAGCTTGAGTTGTTTTGAATGATGAACAGTGTTCTTGGATGATAGATGGGACAGTCTAAACAAAAGGAACAGCATGCATAGAACAGTGTCAGGCAGAAGCCACCAGGAGTGTGATGGTGGGACAACAGGGAAGAGCCTAGAGAGGTGAGCAAGGGAGGGGTGAAGAAGGCCCTGCTTATCATGCTAAGGAGTTGGAGTTTTAGAAGTCTTTAGAGAGATTTGCCCTCACATAGCTGTACAGAGTGAAGGCATGCAGGCCGGGAGTGAGAGAGATCAGTAAAGATGCACCAGCTCAGACAGAGGTAGAAAGCACTTGTGTTAGGACCAGGCCACCTGTGTCATTGCCCCACACTTAGAAGGGTCTGGACCTGCTGGGTGCAGAGGTGAATTTATAATCCCAGTGGCTCTGGAGGCTGAGACAGGAGGATTGTGAGTTCAAAGCCAGTTATCAGCAAAAGTGAGGCACTAAGCAACTCAGCAAGACCCTGTCTCTAAATAAAATACAAAATAGGACTAGAGATGTGGCTCAGTGGTTAAGTGCCCCCGGATTCAATCCCCAGTATAAAAAAAAAGAAGAGTCTGGTGCTCGGTTTAATGCTCTTCAGTCACTGAGTCAAAATTATTGATATTTTGTGAGGAAGGGACCCTGCTTTTTTATTTTGCACTAAGCCCCACAAATGATGCAGCCAGTTCTGGTTAGGACAGTGGTGTGGAAATGGAGAACAACATCGGGCTTCCGAGGTCACTAAGAAGTCAAATAGGATTTATTTAGCCAGAAGTGGCAGTGCACTCCTGTAATCCCAGTGACATGGGAGGCTGAGGCAGGAGGAAGGAAAGTTTGAGGTCAGCCTGGTCAACTTAGCAAGACTCTGTCTCAAAATAAAAATAGAAAGGGCTGGGGATGTAGCTCAGTAGTAGAGCACCACTGGATTTAATCCCTGGTATGGTAAAAAATGAATAAATAAAAATAAGTTAAATAGCTAGGTATGGTGGCACATGTCTATAAATACCAGCAGCTCAGGAGGCTGAGGCAGGAGGATCACAAGTTCAAAGCCAGCCTCAGCAATTTAGCAAGGCCCTAAGCGACTTAGTGAGACCCTGTCTCAAAATAAAAAATAAAAAGGGCTGGTAATGTGGCTCAGTGGTGAAGAACCCTGGGTCCAAACCCCTGGTGCCCATAAAAATAAAAATATTAAAAATATTAATAAGGGCTAGGAATATAGCTCAGTTGGTAGAGTGCTTGCCTTGCATGCAAAAGGCCCTGGATTCAATCCCCAGCACCACCACAAAAAAAAAAAAATAATAATAATAATAATAATAATAATAAATAAATAAATAAATAAATAAATATGGTGACTTATTTAGGGTGAGCCAATGGATGAAGAGGTTAGGAAGATGGAAGAACTAGGATGAATCTCTGGTCTCTACCTGGACGCTGCTACTCTCAATCAGCGTGCATGTACACACACAACTCAGAGGTAGAGAACACGCTTAGCATGCTATGTGTGAGGCCCCAGTTTCCAACCCCAGCATCCCCCGCACCAAAAAAAGGATAGAGGATATGGGATGAGGAACAGGCTTAATGAAAGAAGTAAATAATGAATTCAGTTTTGTTTTTTACTCTCACTACCCTATCTGGACTAACCCACCTACTTTTCCACTCATCATTTCTGGCTGACTCAAAGTTCTAGACACTGCTTTTTTTCAAATCTCGTTTTTTTTTTTTCCTGCCATCTGCAATCAGATTTATTCTTATATTTTATTTTTCTTTCTTTCTTTATTTTGGTACTGGGAATTTAATACAGGGGCCCTTTACCACTAAGCCACATCCCCAGCCCTTTTTATATTTTATTAGAGACAGGATCTCACTGAGTTGCTTAAGGCCTCACTAAATTGCTGAGAATGGCTTTAAACTTGTGATCTCCTGCCTCAGCCTCCTGAGTTGATGGGATTATAGGCATGCACTATTATGCCCAGATATTTTAAAAAATTTTTTATTTGCAGATGGACACAATACCTTTATTTTATTTATTTTTTATGTGATGCCAGGGATTGAACCCAGTGCCTCAAACGTGCTAGGCAAGTGCTCTACCACTGAACCACAACTCCAGCCCCATGCCCATCTAACTTTAATAAAGATATTGGCTCCCCTATCTTTAATCAAACCCTGCCTGGATCCCACATGGGAACTTCTACCCAGTGGCTAAGGCTTTACATCCCTTCACTGACCAATAGACTCCCAAACAAGTGGCCATCACAGGACCAACAAGATCACTATTGTGGCCTTTGGATGGATGCTCAATAATAAACCGAAGGGCTTGCCTAGCATGTGTGAGGCACTGGGTTCCATCCTCAGCACCACATGAAAATAAATAATATGAAGGTATTGTGTCCCTCTACAACTAAGAAAAAATATTTAAAAAAATCAGAAAAATTTAAAAATAATAATAAACTGAAAAATGGTCCAAGTTTGCAGTGCACAGTGGCACAAACCTGTAATCCCAGATACACAGGAGGATCATAAGTTTGAGGCCAGCCTGGGCAATTTAGCAAGGCTCCAAGCAATGTAGCAAGACCCTATCTCAAAGGGCTAGGGATGTGGCTCAGTGATAGAGCCCCCACCTGGATTCAGTCCCCAGTGTAGAAAGGAAAAAAAAAAAAGAAAGGAAGAAAGACACCATAGTACAAGTTTACAGAAAAATTAACACTGGTAAAAAAGTCAGAAGGAAGAAAGCTAAAATATATCAAGAAACCAGAAATTGGACTGGGGCTGTGGCTCAGTGGTAGTGCACACTTACCTAGCATGTGTGAGGCACTGGGTTTGATTCTCAGCACTGCATATAAATATATAAAATAAATTATTAAATAGAAGAAAGTCCTCTGAAAATAAATTTAAAAAGAAAGAAAGAAACCAGAAACTACTCAGATGATACCTTCTTCCTCTTACCCTCCTAATGGCAAATGGCAGTTACAGCAAAGCAACACCAAGAGCCGTGTTTCATGCTCAGGCGACAACACTGTACTTATTCCTTGTGGTTTCTGGTGCTCTACCTGTTCAGAGAAACATCTCTAGCAATGAACTATGGAAATGAAAGTATAGTCTTAATGATTAATTCAGTTTTAAACCAGCAGGTTTGAGGTGCCTATAGGGGGTGCCAGTATCCCAGTTTCTCCAACCCGTTTCTTCTAGACCCTCTCTGGGACTTTCATCCTTCTGGATTTCTACTCTCTGCCTTTTTTTGAACAAGATTAAGTTGAAAAACAACCCTCCCCCCACAAAAACAAACAAACAAAACCTCCTTGTCAGTTTCCATTTCTGAACCCACAGTGAACTCCCACCCCCAATTTCACAAACCCAGGGCCCCTATTCCCCTCTTCTTCCTCTTTAACAGTCATCATCCCACCTTCCCTCCTGTCTTTGCAAGACTAGGAAGTGGGTAGAGGAGGGGAAATGAGAAGAGATGACCAAAGTCAGGAGGGCCCCTCGAAGATGCTGGGTTTTGTTCTGCGCCTTTTGGTTTGACTTTTCTGCCACCCAGTAGGGCTACAAGAGAGGTCCACAGGGTTAGCTGCTGTTCTTGGGAGTAAGTGCTGGAACTGAATTCTGAGGTTAAGGAGCAGACCCTTTCCCCCACTGTGAGAGGTGACCAAATTCTCCCTTTCAGATCGCATAGCGGGGGTGGGACAAGAAGGGATTCTAGCATATCTGCAAACGGCAGTCTCAGTGAGTTATAGTCTTGACATACATGAGCTCTCAATGAACCTTTA